TTGGGCCATTGTTGATGTGTTCACATGCTCATGCCCGACTGACATTCTTACACTGTTCGCGCGTTATCAGGATGCAAAGCAACCAAAAAAGCATGTTTTTAGTTTTCTTTATAAAGACTGTGCATATTCTCGAAATAGGTCACAAGAATATTATGCAGAATAAATGCGGTTTTCTTTAAAATGAAAACATCCACATTCCACATCTTAGGAAAATACGTCCTTATGTCAGTAATCAACTTAAGCACCAAAGCTGAAAAACAAAGTCAGCATAGTTCACAGGTCGTCTGACCAGGAATTAAATTTAAAGAGCCTCACAACTATAATTCTGGAGCTGTTTGACTGTGGCGTAAATCTCCCCAGGATGGAGGGCAAAGGTTTGCGGTTCGGCCACATTCGGGTTCAACCTGCGGCCACGTTAAGTCGCCTCAGCTGAAGGTGGTGTGATCTGCAGTAACACATGCGGGGACATTGACACTTTGTTGTCCACATATCACAAACTAATGAGTAAAAAGTACATTATCATCATCAGCAATTTTTCTAATATCAGGAAATGTAGCAGATTTGTAGTCAGCGTAAATCCCACAGACTTTATTTGGTTCTGCTGGCGTGTTTTTGTGGAAATAAACTTTTTATGTTAATAATGCAACTACCTGTGTTTGTCTGCCGTATATGCACATTCATGTGTTAATGAGAAATACATCAGATCGAACCTTTGTGGAATGCATAACAATAACAATCTTCTGTGCACAGTTTGTGGCCCTCGCACTCATCAGACACAAAGTCCTGAATAGCCTAACATTACTCATGATTTCCTTAAAACTGGACCAGGAAGCAGTTTTTATGAAACATTACTTCATCTAGAGTATTGTTGTGGTTTACGCATTTACTTGGCAAGCAAAAGGTCGCTGGTTCCAGCTGGAGACACAAATCCCTTTTGGGATTGTGTCAGAAACAGCCTCTGGTGCAAATCTCTACAAAATCAAAAAATTTGGAGTTACCCACTGTGGGGAGCAGCTGAAAGTGGCTTCTTCTTCATTATCATCCACAGGTGAATTCACAGTTGTGCGTGCTACGTGTTGCCCGTTGATGTTTTTTCGACATTAGATGTCAGCTACACAGAGAAATAACCCCCAGCTAAGAGCCAAATATCTCGTTGTTTGCTACTGCTAACAACCACTGCTGCCGTGAGAGACTGATATCAGTTTTTCAACTGATTGCAACCCATTGCTTTTTACTTGGGTCCTTCATTCATCACAATTAGAGTTTTTAATGAACTCTCATTGTAAATATTGTTTTAGACACTGAATTATAAATCAGAGAATCACTTTACCTTTAGGTCTAGATGCAATACCTACACATTGTAGGTTTTCCCATAAGCAGATATTGGCATTTTTAGACTTCATCCATCCAATAATACTAATAATAAAAGACAAACATGTCTTACTAATACTGCTTAGGTCTTCCTAATGTTTGTTTAGGTTAAGCTGAAATTAAAGTGAATAATCTTAATTAATCATAATCATAGCTTTAATTAGGACACCTCCAGCACAAATATGAAATATGAGATTTTGATCCTCATCTTTGCTTATAATTTATGAGTGTAACTGAAGTTTTATAGTGAGCTGTATAGCTTATTGCTTTTTATGGTCATTAATCAAACACACACCTCATTAAACCGGCTTTCTCACAGACACAGTCAAATACCAGCAACGTTTTATCCTTTTCTGAAAGGATTTTGCAGAATCGAGGTCAGCAGACGAATGTGCAACAAATGATCCAAAGACAAGCACAAAACGAAACAAGCTGTTGTGTTTCTCAAAGTATTTTCTGGGTTAAAGATGAGCGTGTAAATTAAGCCTGAAGGATTAAGGTAATCTCATCATATGGTTCCTCTGGGAAAGTGTAGGCAATCCAACTTATTTTGGTAGACTGATCCTGGATTGATGATGGAAAAGGACGGATTGTGAGTTAACAAAATCCACGGCCCAGAAATGACTGTTTGGGTGATAATCAGCTTAATTGTCCAATTTGAAATCACAAATAAAAAAACAGTTCGCATGACAATAATTAGCTTGACAGAAAAAAGCTCCAATGACAACAAAGTTTTTATTTAACTTTATTTTTTTTAAATACTCTTTTATATTATTCTAGTTGTTTTATGTACAGGTATCTAACACCATCGAACTCGGTTGGAGCAAAGTGGTGAGATGGTTAGAACCATCTCCTGACAGCAAGACGCCCCTGGCTTTGAAACACCGGCTGGTTGACCCCACATCTGCATGGGTTCTTTCCACGTAATACAGCTTCCTTCCACAGTTCAAATACATGGATATTAGGTTTTTAGATTTTAAATTGGCCACATTTATGTGACTGAATGATTTTGTTCATGCAAATGTTCTTTTTCTTAAGCTTGTGCTTTTAAAAACGTATTGATACTGAATATCCAGAAATCTGTCACTTGCTAAGTAAATAAATAAAATAAGGCTTTGCTGACATGATGCAAAATATAGAAAAACATAACTTAAAAAAGAGATTTTCCTTTGTAGTTATAACTTTGCTTTTGTTTGTCTCCTCCACTTTTAAACATAATAAAGGCTGGAGCACAAGTGGCTATCAGAGCAGTGCAGTTGTTATGAATAGAGTTTATACAGCCTCTGTGAGAGCGGACTTCCCTTAACTTACAGTGTATTCAAAAACTTTTGATGCATATTATGATGAGTTCATCTTCAGATGTTTAACATTTCAAATCTGCAGTCTGAACGCAGACGTACTCTGCCGTTCCTCGTTGAACTAATATTTCACACGAGTTCTTTTTGCGCTCGGTGAGACAGATTAAAGCGGTTTAGCGGAAAACAATTGCGCATGTGTGCACCGCAGAAAACAACTAAAGGCGAGACGCTAAAGAGACGAACTACGAGGAATGCGCACGTGCGCAAAGTTACTTCTGGCCAATCGTGCCCTTGGGATTTTCTGGACGGTCTTTCTCCTCCTCGTGCGAGGAAGGATAAAAAGGCCATTTCACACACGCACTCTGGTGTACTTCCTCCGCATATGTTCACGATGCTGCAGCTGCTGACATTCTTGGTGGAGAAGGTCTCCCTTCTTTTCAAGTTCAAACTCTTTGAGTCCAGCTGGTTAGAAAGCCAGCAGCCGGAGTGCGCTGAGCGACGCACTCCATCGCCACCCCTCCGCAGGGGAGACGTGCTAGAGGTTCCCAGATCCCTCTTCACTCACTTCGGCATCTATTTAGGCGACAACAAAGTAGCCCACCTGATTCCAGACATCCTCCCCGTGCTCACGAGCAACGACAAGCTCATCAGCTCTGTCATCACAAACGAGAGGCTCATCCTCGGCTGCATATACAGGTGTGCCACGGTGCGCGTAGACACGCTGGAGGACTTCGCGTATGGCGCCAGCATCCTCGTGAACCATGCTGATAAGATGATGAAGACGCCACCTCTGCCCGACGCCACCGTCGCCAAGAGAGCTGAAAAACTCATAGGAGCCTTTCCGTACAGTTTACTGTGGAGTAACTGTGAACACTTCGTGACGTACTGCAGGTACGGAGCAGCAAGGAGCCGGCAAACAGAGCAGGTAAACATCCCGAATTGCCTGGGGCCATGTCTAAAGTATGCCGAGACTTTTAAGAAATGTTACAATGATAAATAACTTTTTTTTCTGTTTTCTTCCCTCTGCAGTTCTGTGAGGTCCTAAAATCAATCATCAGGGACCAGCGCACTGTTATCGTTTCCGGGCTGCTTGGAATTATCTCTGTTGTTTACTTTGGTATGGCACCTTTAACTACATTACCCACAATTCTGATTCCCTTCACTCTCTGGATGGCTGGTTAAAAGAGCTCAAGGCAAGAAGTCAATAAAGAAGATGAACTTTTACTTGGCAAAACCTCCCTGAACACTGAACTCCAGCTTCATGCTTTGTCACAGTTCTTTGATTTTACTGGCCAACAGTGTTTGATGTATTATGTTGTTACTGCATCATTAGTTTCTTATTTTACTCTCAAAAAATGTGGGGACTAAACTGATATATTTATTAGAAGAATACAGTGAGTTATTTTTTCTAACATTGAGTCACCAGAAAAGTGAGAATAGAGTGGACTAAATCAATAATAATGTTGATGTATGTAAATAAAGGTTATGAATATGACAGTTGTTTAATAAACAATGCATTTTTACGTGTTTGTTTTTCGTGTTTCGTGTGAATCTGACTCTTCTTACATCGCCACATGAATGAAAGTGGAAGAAGAGGCCTGCATCATCCATGCTAATGGCAGATAACTGGTCAAAGGGGCAGATAACTGGTCAAAGGGTCAGCTGTGGAACAGGCTGCGTGAGAAAGCCTCCAAAACAATAGTTGACAAACAGATAGAGAGCAAGTGATGGATTATCACAAACCTTTATACTTTTATATCAAGAAAGAGTCAAACCCATCACAGGACTACATTTGGCTTCAAGGGTATTTGACATGAAATTATAAGAACCTATCTCAGCTGAGAGTCAGGGTACATCCTACACAGGCTGCCAATCTGCTGCTGGACAACCAGCAACCACTCACACCCAGACCTACGATAAATACAGATCACAGATATCTATCTAATATATTTCTCTTAATATTCAACAAATCACTGAATAATAATGAGACTGGTTTGAACACTTGGAGGCCGATCTAGTCTGCAACAAAGAAACTAACAAAAGGTGCTTCTTTGGGTGTAATGGCTCAATAACTGTGACCTTTAAATTGGAATTGAACTTGTTGCCCAATTAGCCTTCCTGGTGGGGACGCTTGACCTTAATACCCCACAAATAGGCCTGAATTTCAAAATCCAACCACACAGAAAAGGGATTAAAGAAAGCTCCTTTGTTTTCCTGTGAAATTCACACTAAAACATTGAGCAACATTTAATCCTCCTCGGAAGACTCGGCCCTCCCATTTCTGTTATAAATAAGACGGTCAGGTGTCAGCCTGTGTGCAGCACACTGCCATCATGTTTCTCTACCAACTGCTCAGCTTTTTCTTTGTAGTTTCTAAAAAGGAAGAGAAGCCCAAATATGATTTATCTCTGTACAAGCGCGGCGACTTGCTTGAGGTACCCAGGACATTATTCACACATTTCGGGATTTACCTGGGGGACGATCGTGTGGCTCATCTCATTCCGGACATCCTGCCTGCGATCACCAAAAACAAATCTGTGATTGCAAAGATGGTAACAAATAACCGCCTCATCCTGGGGGCCATCACCAAAGAAGCAAGCGTCAGAGTGGACTCTGTGGCAGATTTTGCTTATGGCTCCGAGATCCTGATCAACCATGTGGATAAAGTGTGCGCACAGCCTCCCTTAGATGGAGACGAGGTGGCTCGGAGGGCAGAGAAACTCCTGGGCTCAGTCACCTACAGCCTGCTGTGGTACAACTGTGAACACTACGTCATGTACTGCAGATATGGAATGGCCATCAGCTACCAGACATACCAGGTAAACTCCACACAGAAAGGCCTCCCAGCAGCAAGACTAAAGGATGAAGTTCACTTTTTTCCAAGTCTAACTTAAAACTAGACTAAATAGGTTGTTTGTCACTGTGTTTAAACCTCGTGTCCATTCTGGTTGTAGAAACATCATTTTTGAATACCTTGCCACACACAGAAGAAATGCATTTAAGGAAGTTAGACTGCTACAAAATATTTGAATTTTGCAAAGTATTTTTTTAATAAAAAACCTATAGAAGACAGTAGATTTTGCTATTCACTTTATTTTGAAAACCATATTAGAAAGAAATCTCCTGGTATCTATTGCAGACGGGAAATGTAATTAATGCAGCCAGGACCATATATATAGTACCAGACATTTTATATATACATTTTTTACATAGGTGTTATTTTAGAAAGGAAAAACATTAATTTAGACTTTTCCTCAAATAGGGTGGATTTTACACGCTGTCTAAACTTAATTAATAATAATTACCTCACTAAACAGTGTGTAAAATTGGTTTATTATTACTTTTTAGGGATTTATATTGAAACAAAGGCTTGCTTTTTAAAGGTTATGTTTATTTATTTATTTATTTTTTTTGGGGGGGGGGGGCAAGTTTTCCTGCATTTGTCTAACAAGTTGATTTGTTCACATTATCACATCTTAATTTTTAAGTGAAATGTGCATTGTAAGTTTTCCTGCATTTGTTATTTTGAACGTAACTATATCCTAAGGCGAGCAGCTCCACCTAGCGCTACTTTGTGTCCACATTGTTGTCATCAAGACTTTTCCTTTTCAGAACAAACATCTGCTAATTTATCTCACACACTTTGTCATTTATCACAGCCTAATGTTGACATTTTCCCCCCCAGTTCTGCACTACAATACGGAAGATCGTGTTCAGCAGACTGAGCGCCCTTTTGACTGCACTGTGTGGCGTGTGCACTGTGCTATATGTAGGCTGCGTGACGCCGCTGACGTTTGTACTCGTCCTGCTCGTCTCGTTCACGATCTGGATGGCAGCCTAATGACCTCTGGAGAGACCGAGCTGAGAGAAAGGACTCTGGCCCAGTTTTTGCTGTGTTACTGAAAACACTGGGAAACAATGTTTTTAGGTTGTTGTTTCAACTTCTTATATACGGCTGTTTTAATTGCTTTCTTTTTTCTTGTAGTTTTCTGAACTGTTAAGTAAGCTGTGATATTACTGTAGTTTAGCGGGTTTATTTAGCACAAATGTATTATGACTCAGGCGCAAAACTTTAAAGACTTTGAATAAAGCTCAAAGACATTTAAATTAAATAATGACCGAGATATATGACAGAGTACAGGGATGAGCTGTGCAGTAAGTGTGATAGATGGGTTCAAAGTGGGGGTGGAATTACATCAGGGATCAGCTCTGAGCCCGTTCTTGGTTGCAGTGGTGATGGACAGGTTAACAGATGAGGTCAGGCATGTCTTCAGATGACACTGTGATCTTCAGTGAGGGAGTGCCTGAAAGGATGGAGTTGTGCTCTGAAGAGGAATGAAATTCAGTAGAAGACAGAATACATGTATCCTAATGAGAGAGAGACAGGTGGATAACTGAAGGTGTAATGAGTAGAGACGTTGAAGGTAGACGAGTTTAAATACCTGGGGTCAACCATTAAAAGGGACGGACAGTGCACAGGAGAAGTGAAGACGAGAGTGCAGGCAAGATGGAGTGGGTGGAGCTGAGTCTCAGGGGTGATATATGACCGAAGGACAGCAGCAAGAGGGAAAGAGATGGTTTATAAGATGGTTGTGAGACGTGCTGTGATGTATGATTTGGAGACGGTGGCACTGACAAGAAGACAGGAAGCTGAGGAGGTGGCAAAGTTCAAGATGTTGAGATCTTAATTGGGAGTGAAGATTATATATCAGAGGGACAGCTCAGGTTTCACAGTGAGAGAGGAAAAGTTGAGATGGTTTGGACATGTGATTATGATGGACATTCTCCCCGAAGCAGCAGGAAAAGAGAAAGAAAAAAGAGGAGGTTTGTGCATGTATTGAAGCAGGACACGCAGCGGGTTGGTGTGACAGAAAAGGGCGCTAAGGATCGGGTGAGATGGAGGCGGGTGATTTACTGTGGTGACGCCTAAAGGGAGAAAGATGATGAAGAAGAAGATGAATACAATATATGTCAGTGTGATGGTGTATGCAAATTGTATTGTGATAAGACTCACAGAAATTACACAACTTGTTACTTTTGTATCTTGTAGAATAAATTACTGTTTGTGTTTGTGGACAAAAGTGCAATAAGTTCCTTCTATTGTAATTAGTTTTTGTCATTCTGTTAAACAATTTGAATTTCCCTTCATGTTGCATTACTTTTATGGCTCATAGGTCATATCATTACATTATTATCTGCTGCTATTTCAATCGGTTTTGACAACGCCTTGTCTGGGAAAAATAGGCGGAGACAACAATGCTCAGAATTAAATGTTTTTGCTGCATACTGCAGAGACTGTTGTTAATCTTCTCCCATTTCAACAGTAACAAGGGAAGTGATATATGCAGTACAATGTTCTGAAATCATCTTAATAAATTCTCTGCAAATATTCAGTATATGGCTATGCAAACACATACTGGGGATATTCACTGGTGATCCATAAGGATTATTTCAAGAACCACAGTTGTAAATGAATAACTCTTCTGGACAAGTGAGCACACAGACACATAGCGGTTCAACAACAGTAATGATAA